ATGGGAGGGAGTGTGGCATGGGCTGTGCCAAGAGGGAGTGCGTGGGTCTTGACCCCAGGCACAACACTGTTGGGACAGCTGTGGGCCCAATACAATCCATTGGTAGGTGCCAGCCCCAAGGTTGGATTCAATCAGTTGGTGGGTTGGATCTAGCCCATGGGCCATATTTTGTGTATCCTTGCTATAATTCAAGCCAGCTCCTTCCATTCTTCCTCCCTGGTTGATACCTAGGTCTGATGGGAGGAGGAGTGGAGGGCTGCAGGTCAGGAGTGAGGGACACTGTGGGGGCAAGCAGTTACGGGTTGGGAGTGAGGGGTACCGGCAGTGTTTAGGTTGGCAGGGAATCCAGGTCAGGACTGAGGGGCACCAGCAGGGCTGTGGGCTGCAGGTTGGAAATGATGGGCGCTGGCAGGGACTACAGGTGAGGAGCTACAGGTTGGGAGTGAGGAGCACCATGGTGGGCAGGGAGTGAGAGGCATTTGAGGAAACAGAGGCTATTGGGAAGTGAGGGGCAGAGGGCTACAAGATGGGAGTGAGTTGTCCTGGCAGGGGCTGCACATTGGTTATGAGGGGCACTAGCAGGGTTGCAGCTGGTTGTGGGTCAGGAGTGAAGGGCAGTGGAAAGCATGACTGTATAGGAGTGGTGGGGCCTTGGAGGATACTCCAGGATCTTTCTACATGCCCTCTGTCACAGCAGGGCAGGCCCCTTGGTATAGTGAAAGCAGGGGTGCTGGGACCCCTTGCACACATACCCCAGGTGAAATCCCAGAGCCCCAGTGAGGAGCTGTCGCAGCACCAGGAGCCAGGTAACAGGCCAGGGGTCTGGGTCCAGGTCCTGAGGGAGCTGGATGCTGTTGCCTGCCTGGTTGTTCAGACCCTGGAGTGAGAGGCTGGGATCTCTCACTGTGAGTCTGTGGGGTCACAGGGCCCCACTGGTTCCAGAATAACACGATGATGTGAGAGAGAGAGGTCCAGAGGGAGGAAGTTTCTCTACACGCATGTGGATGTATTCAACAGCCAGCACACCCTCCCATATCTAGAAATACACTAGTCACCTTGCCGGTGAGTCTTGCTCCCTCTCCTGTTGATTAAGCACTTCACTGGGACCTTCATGGGGATGGTCTAGTAGCCCAGCAATCTTGTAGTCCAACGCCCCTTTGTTCCCAAACTGTTTCATCCCTTTTGTGACTTGCATATTCATTATTTTTCCCCAGGACAATTGCTACTGACCAGCCATTTGCAAGCTATTTCCATCATTGAGTTTTCACCACTGGGTATTTTTCTAACCCCCTATCCGCATCAACGCACCGAGACTGGCAGACTTTCCTTGTCGCACTTCTCTCTTTCTGCACATCATCTTCTCATGCTCCTTGGCAACACTTCCCCTTGGACAAAACTTGCAGCAGTTTTGCACGTGGCTTTTTAGCAAGCTCGGTGGCTATGCAAAACCTCTCTGGAGTGGACACTATACCAGTTTTTGTGGTTACACTGGGTGTTACTGTGATCATTTGCAATGCTGGAATCCCAGTCGCTCCTCTGCCATGCCTGCAGTGAGCCCTCTGTGGCCAAGACCAGGCTGGTGTGGGTGTCCGGGCAATTTGGGCTGGTTTTTATTTAGTTAACCCTAGGTGTGTGTCCCACTGCAAATTCCCCAGAGAGAACAGAGGAGACATGGGACTCACTGGTAGTTGGGCTCCTTGGACTGCCTCCCCAGACAAGGCTCTTTTATTAGGGACAGGTAAAAGGTCCAGTGCTCCCCATCAATGGAGAACTCTTGTCTGCTCACACATTTTATTGGGGACTGATGCGGAACACTGCCTGTTCTCCTGGCATCCCCCGAGAAGCCACCCGCACCCCCTGTAGCACCAGCACAGGAGAGGAGCTGGGCTTTGCCCTTGCAGTGGCATTAGGGTATTGGAGTACCCTGGCTTAGGGTACTGGCATTGGGGAAACCTGGGTTACCATCACGGGCCTCGCTGGGTGTTATTCGCTGTGCTGCCAGCACTTGAAGGCCCCTGCTCCGTGTTACACGTATCATGCAATTCACCGGCAGCACATCACGAATTTAGACCAGCCACACGTGCAAAGTAGGGATATAAATATTATTAAAAAAATTAGCCATTGAAACTCCGACTTATATTATTTAACTGTGTAATACAAGTTCACAACAGTTAAATATCTGCTTCACTTTTCTTTGTCACGTATTGCAGTACCAACAACTAAAACAGACAGACCTAATGCATATACTTGTTCAATCTATTGCAACTTCATCACATCCAAAATATTGATAAATTTCTTTCAGCATTAAAAAGAATTTCAACCCATGTGCTCAACAACGATCATCCCCAAAACTTCAAGAATAAACCACAGCAACTTTTTATATTAAATCCTTGTTTTGCCTTCCAAAACTGCAAAAGAATCCAATTGAAACTTCAAGTACAAAATACCCCAACAATTGTTGGGGGTTTTTTAACATGAAATCCTCATTTAAAAGATGATTGGTCTTCCAAAAAAGAAAAGAAAAAATCAGATCAGAAAAAAAAATCTAATCTCAAGGTTGCATGGAGGTTAAATGAGCAACAACTAAAACAAAAAGCTGCATCACAACTCTACTGATGATTTTTATTGAGAAAAATTAATATGTTGACATGCTCTGATGTGAGTTTTGAGTGCAGCTGATTGACAGTCAGCCCAGCAGTAGAAAACATGTGTTCTGCAGGCACGGAGGATCCTGGGATGCAAAGGTAACTCTTAGCCAATTTTGCAAGCCTAGGAAAGCGGTGCATTGACTTTCCACCACTCCAACGGATTGCACTTCAACAAGGGGCAGGGCTCTCGGAAGTAACTTTCCAATTCATTTTCTACCGCATTCCCATCAGTTTTCTTACTGTAATCTTCACCTAAAAGCATGGCGATAGCACTCTTCTTAGTTTCACGCAGTTTTTTCACTGCCGGCGCAGTCAGTTCAGAGGATTCAGCCGCAGCACTCGGAGCAGCTTCATTTTTCAAGAAAGACGCAAGTTTGCATAAGCTTTGATTTGGCAGCAATCTGGATATCGGGCAAAAGAAACTGCAGGTGCTTGTGGTGGAGATCCAGTATGGATGCTATTAATGCAGCTCTGTTTATTATGGCGGGATCATTGGGTTTCATGCAATACTCCAGAGGACAGCAGACTTGAAATCAACTATCTTTCTACTTTTGGCAGCAGTTTCGGTTTTTAGGTGAGTGTTGAGAAGACTTGCAAATGGGATAAATATTTTAAATGGAGGCTGAATGCTCAGCAGACATGGCTGTTGTGGCACATTTTAAACTCAAAAAGATAGGTAAGATATGCTCTATTAATTGCCATTGCGCATCCTGCAGCTCAAACATCTAAACATCATATAGCTTCATAAACGAGCGATCTGAGAGCACCGCCGTTGTTGGCCACCTTTGCTCACTGAGTCTCTCAAACATTTCATACGCTGAATTCCAGTGAGTTTTACAAGACTGAATCAAGGGGTTATGCTTAATCTGATACTGCGTTTGTTTCCTGTCGGGTGTTTTAGCAGCAACGGAGCCAGGCTGGAAATGTGCAACTAGCCTACTGGCGGCCGCAAAAACATGAGCGACGCTGCCAGAAAAGCCATCATTTATAGTCAGCTGCAATATGTGAGCAAAACAGTTTACAGAGTCCCACGCAACATATCTCGGCATGTCGGTGAGCACGACATTGCTCACATTATCATGAACACATGCCAAGATACGGTTTTCCAGGCCCCATCTCTCTACTATAGGGTTTAACTTTTCAGCAATATTTTCTGCTGTGTGTGGTTCTAGCATACTTTCCATCTGGAGCACAGCTGACTGAAGCTCCTAGTTTTCAATGTAATGACAGGTGATGGTCATATAGCTTTCTGCATTTACTGCTATCCAACAGTCAGTAGTGAAAGCTACTTTATTGGCTTTCCCCAGTTTTCCCTGCAGACAGTTCACGCAGGTTTCATACCACTTCTCCAGTTGTGCAGTCACAGTTTGTCTCACAGGCACATGGTGTTCAAGTTCCACAAAACTCATTAATGCACGGGAAACCGGCACCCTCAATAACACTTATAGGCAGCATGGCTTCAGTTATCACGGAGCATAACAATTTGGTCAGTTTTTCAGCACGCTGTGTATCACATTTCCTCGCACTGCCAGGAATGAATGTAGGCATTGTTGTTTGCTTCTGATCTTGCCTTTCACTTGAAATAGCAGGCTGCATCTGCTTAAGATAGTTCAGCATTGCTCCAGTGCTGCTCCCGTACCTAAGCTCCGTAGTGCATAACTTACACCTGACAGCATCTTTGATTTTTGTGAAATGATGCCACACCAGGCTCCTTTTTGACCACTCGATCTTTAACCTATGGGTGCTAGTCTGGAAAAGCGGTACCAGTAAAACACATGGTCGTTCACACAACATACTTTGAATATCTGATACAGTGAACTCCACCCCAGCAAACATGAGCTGTGTTTCAAAAAAAACCACACGGGTAAGAAAGCCATGAGCACGTACATGCTGAAAGATGGAGTGCCACCCTATAGAAATCATTTGACTAATCCATTTTAAGTGTTAATTGTAAAGCATTGCTGATACCATTATGGTTTAACTGTTTCTTTCACTTCCCAAGTTTAGAGGCGGCGTCCTGCAAATAGAAGCAACTCTGGGAATGTAACTCCTTTTCAGGAGTTCCTCTGACTCTTCCTTGCACCTCCAGCTCTTGCCGGACTTTCCCGCGGCTACACATTCACACCCCACTCCAGCCTGTACCTTGCCTATGGCCATGTTGTCTCTGCCCTGCTTCTCGTGCACTTGGCTCAACTCAGGTGTTAAGGGTCCCTTGTCCCCTGATTGTCCTGGGGACAGCATCAGCAGCTCTAGGTTCACAGACCCATCCTCAGCAAACTGCTCCTCAGCTGTGCTCAGGGTCCCTGCCCCTGTTGGAATGGGAAGAGCATCCACAGGTTGGAGACCTCGCTGGCATATCAGCCGATAGATAGATAGATACTGCTCATTCAAAGGCTTTGTTAAAGCGTTGGCCAAAGCAGGCCTGATCAGTGAACCTGAATGATGCCTGAACTCTGCACATAACTAAAACTTGCCACGTGGCCCAGACAATGGTTGTACAAGCTGAAGAATAGTTCAGCTCTGGGATGATAAGGCAGAGATGGGAACCCCCAGAGCAGGATGAGGAGGAAACCCATGGCACGGGATGGTCAAGATATTGGTGTAATGTGTTTCAACCACTGTAGAAAAGGATAATTAGAAATCAAAGGGACTTTGCTTGGCCTGGGGGAGCTTGTGTGGTGTTGTGCCAATGCCTTTTAATGGGCATATGTGCATTAACACCTTGTCTCTTAGACCACAAGTGTTTTAGAGTCATGCCTTGTAGGAAATAAACCTGGTTGAAACTTTGCCACTGAATTAAATCTGTGGTCATTCTTTAAGACAAGATTGGTGTTGGCATCTCCTGGCTTTACCTTTCCTGGCACTGTAGTCCCTGAGATTTCATGTATGGCCATATCTTCAAATTCAGCTAGATAGAAACCAGCTATAAAGTTGTTATACATTTTCCATCACTAACTTTGTAGCTCTTTTTATATCTGGATGGACATTTTTATGGCATGATAATTACTTGGCATGTGTGACCAGTGTGAACTTATTGCACTTAGTGTATTGTGCAATGTGTGCAATATGTGACAGGGGCCTTCAACCCTGACAACATATCAATGACATCAGACAAGGCCAATAACAAAGGTTATGCTAATGCCATAGGCAAAGCCCTGCTACTCCCACATGCTGCTATGTGCCTAAGTCAGCCCCCAGGCCTAAATGTATAGGAGAACAGAGAGATGGAAGAGTCAAAGTCCCACGGGTCGTCTAAGGCCATCTATACATTACATATATTACAGAATTTAGTGGTAAATTGTACAAAAAATTTAGATTGCAGCCCCAAACCTGCCACATGAAAAGTCAGACCAGGTACAAGAGCAAAGCAGTTATCACACCCCATTCACTGGTGAACTGCACAACACATTTACACTTGCCACATGCAAAAAGTAATGATCAAACCATAAAAACGGCCATCGCGCTACCAAGAGAGCAAGCAAGCTGCTCAGCTACTGCTTGAAAATGTGCAATAACTCTATAGCTGGTTTCTATCCAGGCTTCATTTGAACATGCAGCAGGGTACTTCTAATAGACCTCCACAGCTATGATGCTGGAGATGAGCCCATGTCTCTGCCTTTGCTCGGAAAGGAAACCATGGACATTGCTCCCTGCAGGATGCTGCTGCTCCATCAGAAGCCGTGTGGTAAAGGAGGAGGAGGAGGGAACAAACAGAGCCACTTGCTCCAGGGGCTGAGGGTGGCTTTTAGAGGTGCCACGAGAACAAGCAATATGATGAATCAATCCTTAAAAGACAGAACAAATGAATTTTCCACTGATGGGTGAAGCTACTAGAAGGGGCACAACCGCCACCTCTTACCTGCCCCAGGAAAGGGCCCTGTTTAGGGAAGCAGCCCAAGGAGCTTTCATCTGCTGATGAGTCCCATGTCTCCTCCATGTCTGGTGAATCTGCAGTAGGACAGTAACGCTCATTGCAATCACAGAAACTGCCAGTGACCGCTCCTGCATAGCCACTGAGCTTCCTAGAAAGCCAGTAGCTGGTTAAAGCTGTGCAAAGCCACCACAACCTTTGTCCAGGTGGAAAAGGTGCCCAGGAAAGTGAGAAGACGATAGGCAGAAAGAGAAGCACAATAAGGAAAGCTTGCTGGTCTGAGTGTGTTTATGCAGGCAGAGTTTGAGAAAAGTAGCCAATGGTGAAAATTCAGTTCTGCAAATCACCCGTAACTGGCAGCTATAGCAATCATCATGGAGAAAGTGATGATGAATATGCAAGTAACAAAAGGCATACAACAGTTTGGAAATAAAGCAAGGTTGGACTACTAGACTGCTGAGCTGCTAGACACCTCTGAACATCCCAGCAAGACCCCAGATGACAGACCCCAGCCCCTCACTCTGGGGGCTAAACAGCCAGGCAGGCACCAGCATCCAGGCCCCTCAGTACCTTTACCCAGGCCCCCAGCATGTTACCTGGCTCTTAGTGGGGCAGGGGCTCCTCTTTCAGAATAATAATCAGCTCATCCTGAGGTCCGGGGGTTTCACCCCCTCTTGCCTCCTCCTCGGGCATGTGCCCAGGATGGGGTGGAGGCTGCTCCAGGCCAGAGAGGGGTTCTCTCAAGGCCATGTCCTCAACCTGCCCATGTACTGTAACCTGGGGACAAGACAACCATGTCACTGGGAGCTGGGACAGATGGGGCTGGGAGGGAACAGCCCCAGACACACGGAGATGGGGAGGCAGTATTCATGTGGGGGTGAAACTCACCACCCTCTGCCTGCCCCAGCCAAAATCCCTTGGCCAAGTCCACCGTCTCAGCACAGGTCTCTGTGCCAATACCCCACTCCCAGCTCTGCATCCCCTGGGGCAGAATAGCCAGGGCTTGAGCCAGCACCACCAGTTCCAGGATCTACTCCTTGCTGCAGCGCTCTGCCAGCACTGGCAGAGATCCCGCAAGTGGCTGCAAACCTCGTGCAGCCCCTTGGAGTAGAGAACCCAGGCCAGGGGGGCTGACCCTAGAGCCGTGCTTGACCACACAGGCCAGCATAAAGATGCTCACCTGCCAGCACTGCACAGACTCCTCGAGTGGCTCCTGCTTGACCACTGGGGCTGCCAGGTATTTTGAGGACACTGTGCCTGTGTCCACAGGGTCCTGCTTCTCTGTCTTCACCACAGGCTGCTCTGGCACCGGGAAGGGGAAGCCTGCAGCTGGCACCGGCTCCAGCTCAGCAGCCATCTCCTCTGGATATCAGGGCTCCTGGCTGTGGGAAGGAGACAGCGGGTGTTAGCATGTAATGTTGGGCCAGGACCATGACCCAGCCCCTCGCCCAGCCCCACAGCCCTGCACTGAGGGGCCACGGGGGTCCTGCCCTGACATGGGGCGCAGGGACTGGGCTGGACCCCGAGCACCCCCAAGCCATGTTACTGGGGCCCCTCACTCCCCACCTGCAGCCTCTGCCCCACCCGCAACCCCTGACTAGTGGTGCCCCTTACCCCTCCCCACCCCCCGGCCCCTGCCCTTCCCTCCCCACACAGCCCAGAAGGGAGGACGGAAGGGGCTGGATTTAGCCCCAGCATCAGGTCCTGATGCAGCTCCGCCCTGGCCTGGCTGGCACCCAGCTGCAGCTGGCTGGAGAGGGTGCAGGGAGAGGTGGCTCTGGGGCAGCAAACAGGGGCAGAGCCTGTGTTTGGGGGTGTGGGTATATATATGTGTGTATATATGTATATATATATATCTATATGTCTGTACGTGTGTGTGTGCATATATAGAGAGAACTATATCTATGTATGTATATGTATATGTGTATGTATGTACATGTGTGTGCACATATATAGTGAGATCGATAGCTATCTATCTACATATATGTGTATGTATGTATGTATACTACTATGTAATTACTTCCATTTGATGACATGTATGTGTATACATGCATGTGTGTGTGTGTGTGTGTGTGTGTGTGTGTGTGCTTGTGTGTCACTGCCAGGGCCAGGCCTGCTCCAAAGGGTAGAAATATGCCCCACCCCACAACTTAACTCCTTCCCTTCTGGCCTGGGGCAGGCACTCATCCAGGAGGGCAGGGGGGAGCATTGCAGCTCCATCTCCCTTCCCCACCACACCATTTCACTGCACCTTCGCAACCAGTGTTGACTCCATCTCAACACACGAAAACGCCTCCCCCTGCCCTAAATAGGGATGGAGCAGGGAGCAATGGGGAGCGGGGACTGACTGCAGTTATTTGTGGGTTTGAAGCTTGGAGTTAAATTCCCTTTCTTATGTCTTTGCTTTCTAGCCCTTCTACCAGGAGAGCTGGGCATACCTCGGCTTTGCTGCTTAGCTCTGTTGGCATCTCAGCATGTGGAATTACATAATTATAGAGACACAAGAATTTTTACGACTGAGATCTTTTATTAGGCCTACTGTACAGTTGGGCAGGGAGGGGAGCATAGACAAGCTTCCGGGTACCACTACCCTATATACTATGTCCCTCCCAACTATGCTGTCAATCTAATTGAAGATATCACCCACAGAAATCCTTGCTTCTTGCACTTTTCCTAGACCATCACAGGTATAACATCATGCTAATACTTAACTGTAGTGATTTTTTTTCATGCCTGGAGTAAGTTAAACAGATTGGCATGTATGTAGTTGGAAAGGCATTTTGGTAGGGACTTGGCAGGGGTTTTCATCTTCCCTGGAGCACTGAGCAGAAGGCTGACTTCATTCTTACCTAGCCTTTCTGGAACATAAACTAGACAAGGATTCTTCACTCTGCTATTGTGTAAGAGCACGCTTGAATGACAGCACTGACTCATCAGTTCCTGTATTGGCTGACCAGGCTGCCACTTTATTATAAAACTGTGACCCTTGGCAGGGTATACTGGCAGCTATAAAAGAGGGAGTGCTTGGTCACTTCCAGCTTGATTAGCTATTTCTCTCTCGCTTGCTGACTTAAACCTCTGCCCTAGAGATGAACTGGAACTTCTCTCTCAGTAGATGTAGCATAAAGGTAATCAATGGGGCAGAAAGGTAGCATAAAACCACTTATCTATCTCAGGTGATATCCAGTGAGCACATCAGTCTCTAAAGCATTAAGCCTCACAACACTTCTCTGGGGTAGGGCAGTTTAGCTTGCAGATGGGAACTGAGATGAAGAGCATGATCCACAGGGAACACTGCAATTTTAGAGCTGCAGTATCTAACTTTTAGATATCTGTCTACTTGGTTACATCCAAAGCCTCAAGTCAGGTGTTCAGTCTCCCTGCTAAAATGCATAAGGTGGTGTTGGGTGCCAAAATGGGATTTGTAAGTCAGCCAGCTTCCTACTTCATAGGCAACTGTGCAAACCACTCCTGGCTGTACCTTAAAGTAGCAGATGCCACTGGTTTAAAAAAAAAATCTGATCCTGTTGCTGTTAGACACTATCACAGCATCTCTTGAATTCCACCCTCTTGAGAAAGTTAGGTGGGAGAACATTAAGTTTCTGGATCGTCATTGGATTTACATGGTAAGCTGCCCTGTCCAGTCAATGCTGTCACAGTGCTAGATGTGCCGGAGGTGCAAGTGTGGACAAGTGGGAAACTCAAGGGTATGCATAGACTTTTAGATAGAGTTAGGGGGCTTTTAGATCGAGTTAAAAATGCCCACCTAACAAAGGTGGATTAAGGTGTATTAGGATCCTGGACAAACACAAAATTGAAGGCCCCTTCTCCCACCCCCAGCTGGGCTGCAGGAGGGGGAAGGAGCCCCTTCCCCTCCCCGTGATGGCTGAGGAGGCTGGGTTGACTTTGCTGGGCTCGGGGTAGGGGGGCACATGCCCATCTCTTCTCCCTGCTCCCCACCTCCTTCCCCACCCTGGCCGAATGTACACACACACATACACGCACACACATGCGCACACAGGCGTGCACACAGGTGCCCACTTTACTTTCACTCACTCTCCGCAGGTGGACACACAGATACAAACACACTCTCCCTGCCATGAACACACACACACACACACACACACACACACACACACACACACACACACATAGACACAGACAGACACATACAAACAGACAGACAGACACACATGCTGACAGACACACACACACACAGACACATGCACACCCAGACTACTACTTTCTCCTCACAGGACCTCCTCCTTCCCCCACTCCTGATCACTCTGAGGCAGTGCCCCCTCACCTCTTTCGCCATGAGCCCCCCCATGGCTCTGTCTAGCTCCCCACCTTGGCTCCTATTAGACTTACCTGCAGGGACCTGCTGCCCATCTGTGTCCTGTGCAACCTTACAGATGCACAGGACTGGGCCAGGCTGGGAGCGCTGAACCTCTGCAGGCAGGAGGCAGCACTGGGAGGGGTGGCTACAGCCCTCTAAGACCCCCCCAGCACTGCTGCCCTCCCACCTGCAGAGGCACGGCACAGTGCTCCTTACCCAGCCCCAGCTACCCCAGGCATGGTGCTCCCAGCCCAGCCCAGCCCAGCCCCCCAGCCCCATTGGAGCAGGGATCCCGCTTCTGGCTCACAGAGAAACAAATGCAAAAGCTGCAGTTTTAAATTTGGAGCCATTTTTGTCTCCCCACCAGGAAACTAAAATGGCACCAAGTTCAAAACCACGGCTTTCACTTCCCTGCTGATGAGGATCCCAGGGGCTCATGATTTGGTAGTGGCCCCTAGGCCCGGGCACAGCTGGCCCATCCATTAATCTGCCTATGCCACCTGATCTAAGTAAGTCAGTATGGAGGACTAACAGGGGGCTTGGAGAAATCAGGATGGCAAACAGGGTCCATGGGAAGGTTAGTGATGTCTGGGAAAGTTTGGTGGAATCAGGGAGGTTCACAGGGCCTGGGAGAGGGTCTGGGGGTGGGGATGGGAGGGCTCTCTCCCTCACCCCAGACCAGGGGCTATTTGTAGCTTCCTGAACCCCCCACCTCCAGATGAAACTAACCCCCTCTCCCCCTTCTTCCCCTCTCTTTCCCTCCTACCCCAACTTAGGCTAGCTCCCAGCACTGGTGAACGCTGGTGAAAATGGCACTGGGAACAGCTTGTGGGATGGGGATTTGGCAGGCTCAGGGTGGTGAGGGGAGGCTGGCTGGCCCATAAGCAGGGGTTGTCCATCTCAGGGAGGGGAAAGGGACTAGAGGGTTAAAAAAGCTCAGCCTTGGGTCTGGGGCCAGCAGCTGGGCTTTCCCAGCCCTGGGGCTGCACTGGGAACTGAACAGAAGTTCAGTTAGTTTGGTCTTGCTGGACTTGATCTAAATTAGACTACCTCAGAGGTAGGTTTAACTTAGACCAGGTTGGGCATTTTTAGACCGATCTGAACTTCTGTACAGTTTGCACTTAGATCACTAGTTAGGGCAGTCTAAATGTAAGGTCTGCACCTGGGTGAACTAAATTAGATCAGATGGCCATTTTTAATGCAATCCTAAGCTTCTCGAATGCCTGTACTTAGCCCAGAAGTACAAATATAAGGCACATATGGAAGACTGA